GTCCCTTGAGGCAGAATCACTATGCATGAAAGCCCCTGGTAGAGGGGGCTGTACTGGACAGCAGAGCTGGGATGTTGGAGGATGCTGGAAATCCAGGTGGGACTTAAGACTGTGCTTGATTATCACTATAACCCAGCCCTCTCCCACCCCAACCCCACCCCCACACGTCCTGAAACTCTGGGAAGGAGAGAGCTGTGATACAAGGGAATAAAGGGAATTACTAGGACCAGCGGCTCAGCCTTGGGAACCCTTTTTGAAATAGTTAATCTGAAGAAGGAGATGGAAAGTTTCTGTTAGCATAAGAGGGAGACAGAAGCCAGAGGTATGTATGGTTAATGTATCAAAATCTACAGTTAATCAAGATCTTTTCCTCTTCTTAGATAACACTAGGATTTTCAAATACTTTAACTCCATTTTCCCCTACCTCTAATTTATATGTTACAGTTGGCAATATTTTAATTCTTTAACTTCACAGGACATAATTTTTATTATTTTTTTTGCGTGTAGTATTCATTTAGATCTATCTACATTTTTACCACTTGCCTTGCTCTTTAATTCTTCTTAGGTCTTCAGATCTACTATGGAAGATCAACTTTGTTCTTTCTGAAGCATGTACTCTAGAATTTCCTTCACTGAGGTGATGAACTCTCTGTTTTTGCCATAAAATATATTTTTTTATCTTCTTTGTAAATTTTCTCTTGGTTTAAAATTATAAGTTGAATGTTACTTTCAGCAACTGAAGATAATCTACCGTTTTCTGGCTTCCATTTTCTATTGAGAAGTCAGCTATTGGACTGCCATTTCTTCTAAAGTAATCTGTCTTTTTTTTTTTTCCAAGCTGCTTTCAAATTTTTTCTCTGTCTTTGGTTTCTGCAGTTTTCACTGTGATGTTTCTATGTGTGGGTTTCTTCTCATTTATCCCTCCAGGGATTCACAGGCTTCTTGCATCTAGACATTGTTATTTTTCATCAGTTTCAGAAAACCTCAACTAATCTCTTCTGATAGTACTTCTACCCCATTCTCTCTCTACTCTCCTTCTGGGACTCTGTTTAAATGTGTTTTAGACTTTCCTACTCTAACCTTTATGCCTACTATTCTCTTTCATATGTCTTATATATTTTTTAATTCTTGGTATTACACTCTAGGTAACTTCTAACTTAATGTTCAGTTTTCTTTTAAACTGTGTCTAATCTGTCATTAAATTCATCTTTCACTTCTATATTTTCATTTCCAGAAGTTCTATTTACTTTTTTTCTAATCTGTTATGCTGCTTTTTGTGGTTTCCTATTCATTGGCTAAATCTGAGTCAGAGGTATACTTCCTGGAACCCACAGTTGAGCCCCTCTGAAAATCACGTGCTCTGAGATTGGAGGAATTGTAGTTCCCTGAAGAAAATCTAGAGATCTGACAAAAGAGAAGTAAATAGATACCAGGTGGACAAAAGCAACATTTGTCTACTATTACACAATCCCAACAGCTCACAGGAAAGGGCTCATAATGGTGCCTGTGGGACAGATTAAATTGCACTAACAAGGTGCAGGTTCAGTCCAGATCCTTGGGACATTGGCACAGACACTGCTCTGTCCAGCCACACACAGACAAGATGGGAGCCATCATATCTGGGTGACTGACACAGGGGCTGCTGTTCCAGCTTCCCAACTGCTCTGGCATAGAGGACCCTGTTTGTGATTCATCAGTAATGGGTCTCATGTGGGATACTCTCTTGGCCTCCTCAAGCTGTTTTGCTCCCTCTGATATAAAAATAACACTTAAACAGGATCCCCAACCCCACGTCCTAGACAAATCAGCTCTCCAGAGATAGCAGCCAAATTCACCCTAAGGTTAGGGTGCAGGGTCCTTATTATACACCCAGTCTGTGAGTGAGCCAAGAAGTAGGGTTTCAAGAAATATGATACCATGGCCAGAGGCTAAAATCAATCACCCAAGGAGAATTTATTACCCAACTAAAGCCAGTACCTTCTGCTGATTAGCCCTGCCAAGAACACGGCTGGGGGCTGGGCTGGCAGCAAGAGCAGAGGTGGTAGCTCTGAGAGGTGAAGGACAGGTGCAGGGCAGGTGCAGGGCAGAGCTCTTCTGTAAATCTGGGAATTCACTGTGGTTCCCGTGCTGACACCAGCAGCACTGGTGTCTGCCCCAGCTGGAGTCCTCCTCCACTCCAGCCTTGACAGTGGCATGCGATGGCTGCTGAAGCGTCGGAGCTCCCCGTGCCTGCTTGCCTGCAGAGCGCTGGGAGCAGGTGGCAAGGTAATGATAATGGTAACCAGTTACTGAGTGTAGATTACACGCCGGGCCTGTGCTTTCCATAACACGTAACGGTTAAGAACGTGGGCACTGGAGTCCAGAAACCCTGGGTTTGATTCTTGACTCCGTCTCATTAGCTTTGAGATTTTGATCAAATTACTCAATCTATTTATGCCTCCTTTTTCTCATCTGTAAAACTGTAATAATAAAAGTCTTTACGTCATAGGGTTGCAGGGGATTATGTGGGACACTGCGTGTGACGTGCTGTGCACCATGTCTGGTAGATAGTAAGCGCAGACATGAAGGGCTGTTGTCTACGTGTGTAATTCCCAATCCCGCCCTAACCCTGCAGTGTAGATGTATTCATTAGAGAGAAGCTTAGCTGCTGTAACAAAGGTTCTATTTGTCAGTGGCTTAAACAAGACAGAAATTTATTTCTCCCTAACATAACAGTCCAGAGGTAGGCAGACCAGGACAGGTTGCGGGGGGAGGTTCTGTCATTTTCAAACTGCATTTCCCACTGTTGGGGTCAAATGGCTGCTGCAGCTCCCACCATCATATCATAATTCTAGTCTGTAGAAAGGGGTTCTCTTTCCTTCTAAGGGCACGCTTATAAGTTACATGTAACATTGCTGCTCAAATCTCGTCAGCCAAACTTAGTCACATGGCCATACTATCTGCAAAGGAAGCTGGGAAATATAATCTTGCACTCAGTTAAAATTGTGGGGATTTACCAGTAGAAGAAGAAGGGGAGACTAGATACTGCTCTTCCAGAGCCTACCCATCTGGCCACCCCACACAAAGAACACATTTACCATCTGTCAAACGGGGGCAAGTCAGAGCTCCATCTGGGCACAATGCCCAGCTCAGAGTCCAGGATATCTGAGGAACGGGAAGTCCCCTTTTCCAGGTAGATGGGCTTCTCATGGTCTGGCGACCTGTAAACTAAAAGTCAGGTCGTCTGCCCCTTCCACACCCGTAGACAGCAGTGGAAGATGAACAGGATAAACTCGATTAACAGATAGGATCACTTGCAACAGATAGGATCGCAAACACCCAGCAGTCACTTAGCACTGACTGAGTCTAGTTGGGCAGGAGTGGCTAAGTCCTTTCCTGGCAGTGGAGTAAGTTATGGTCAACACATCTGGCCACCCCTGCTTCTACTCTCTGGGGATCTCCCCCTTTCCACCCTCCTATGTGGTCTCTGGCTTTGCCTCCTGGGAAGTTATTCCTTCTCCAATGTCCACACTGGCCAGCACATGCTTCTTGCAGACCTTATAGCCTTCACAACCCTCTTCCTGTTGGTGTAGATTTGGGGGGCTGGGTATAATGGCAGGGGTGTCAAACCAGGTTTTGCTGATTCCGTTTATGGCTTCTTTGCCAACATAGCATGCTCAAAACCTTACAAGGCTTCTGATTGGTTCCCAGTGTGAGTAACCACAGCCAAGGATCTCATGTAGACCTTATTTTTATGCTTGAATATTCTGAACTTGGTGTTCTTCCTATTCCCCTCTCTCAAACTGGTAGTGGCTATCTTGAGGCCAACTGAAAAAATATGCTTGGCTGTGAAGGGAACTCTCTTATTCTGTCCACTGAGCCAGCTCCCACTGTCCAGTGAGCAGGATGTGCTTGAGAAAGGCTGGGGACCACAGGTGCAGCCCTTGCTGGGGCCACCCCATAGGCAGTGTAGGCACTTTGGGGGTTGATGGAAAATGTGTTCAATAAATTCTGCAAGAAATACAGCTGTTCATTACTGAGTGTCCACTCCAGGGCCAGGGGCTGGGATGAAAGAGGCTGGAAGGAGGAGACGAAGGGAGGGGCAGGGTGAGGAGAGCTGGGTCAGCTGGGTCAGCTGGGTCAGCACTCCCGATATGGACATTGACTCAGGCCCCAGGAATGCCAAGGAAGGGGGTGGGCAGCCACCAGAGCCCGGCTGGGATCCCGTTGGCACCAGGGGAGGTAGGCATAGCACACACTGAAGGATGGGGGGCTGGGTGGGGGACTGGGCCCCTACACACCCAGACATGTCTCCCAAGCACAGGTAGAAACAGGTATCTCCCTCTGTGGACAAGTGCAGGCCCTGAGCACTCCCCACACCTTCCAGGTGATCCTCACGGCCCCCACCTGCTGGAACTACCCACACCACCTCCTCCACCCGAGAGAGGGACAGGCTCTGGGACTGAAATGTGGACGTCTGGACATACGTTGGCTGCTCTCCAGGACTGCCCGCAAACCCCTTGCCTTATTCCCAGCCTCCAAGCTGGCTGCAACCTGTCCTTTCCAACTCCAGCACCGCCTTCTGCTGAAATTGGAACAAGGAAGAAAGTTAAGCTCAAACCTCCACCCTCTCATTTTCCTTCCTTTGGTACCTGACAAAGATGAGAGAGGCACTTGGGCTAGGGAGCCTGGGACTCTCAGAGCCCGACTCCTCCTGGCTCCCATGTCCCCCAATGCTCGAAGCCACCTTCTTCCACCACAGGATCCTCCTAGCTTGTCCTCAGAACCCAGGAGGCAGCTGGGGACCAGGCGTCAAGAGTCTCAGGTGCGCCCCCTCCCTCCCCGCCAGCCCCCAGGCTGCTGGGCCGGCGCGGCTGAGCAGGCGGCCCCTCCCTCCGCTGCCTGACACCCAATCAGAGAGAACCCGATCCGGTGGGGCAGGGCGCCAGGGGCTGGGCCCAGAATAGTGCTGCCCCGCCACAGTGTCGCACACTTGCTCTCCGTTGGGCCAGGATTGGCCACATGGAGCCCGAGCTGGAACACACACTGTGCAGGGTACGGGGTCCCAGGGGGCTGGAGCTAGGGCAGCTGAGGCCAGAGGATCGTGAGCACACCGTGTGATCATGGGTGTGTGTGTGTTTTTCTCTGTAAATATGAGCATGTGGGTGTCTGGGTGTGTATGTTGTGAGTGTGTACAGTTCTATGAGTGTCTGGTGTGGGTGGATATGTGTGCTTCTGTGTGTCTGTCTGAGCGTGTGTATGGGTATGTGTGTGTGTGCGCGCGCGCAGTGAGAAGGGGGGACCTATAGTTTGGGAAGAGAAGGCATTTTCGCCACCCCTTCAGACATTCTTCTCCCCACAGACCCCCTCCTGGAGCAGCCTTGGGGGGCCGGAGCATCAAGGTAGGTAGACTGCCCCTCCCTGTGGCCTGGTCTCTTCTCCCACTCCCTTTGTCCCCCACTTTTCTGGGACCCCCAAGCTCTCCCAGCCTGGCTTTGTCTTTCTCTCCTTTTCCTTCTTTCTTCCTCATTGTTTCTTCTTCCTCTTTTTCCAGTCGTGTTTCCTTCACCTCCTCTTTCCTCTTTTCAGAAGGAAGGGGGAGTCTGGAGTCTGAGCTTGGACCCCAGTCCTGACCTTACCACTTAGTAGCTGTGTGATTTGGCACAAATTGCTTAACCTCTCTGAATTTCTGGTCTCTCCCTAGTGAA